CTCGGGTTACCCGGATCTAAAACGACTGCTCGGTGCCCTGTGCTGCCAACTCTCAATGATATTCAGTGCTCTTCTAAAGGCCCCAGCTGCTGGAGGCATATACTCAGATGAGAATCACAGCTTTCACCTAGAAGAAAAACAAGTCCGTTTCTGGCCTCGCATTTGGTAGAAAAAGAAGGAAGATGTGAATACTAAAAGCTCAAAAAGCCAGACGGCAACAAAGGTCCCCTCCCCTCACTTTTATCATCTCAGGATTTTTAAGCCATTCATCCGATTTTCAGGGAGAACTGGCTCCAATTTTGGACTGCTAGGGGTCGGTGATCCTGAGCAGCTTGCACAGGCACTGTGGGCTGACTGATGCCCGGTTTTATGATTAGCAAATTGAGTTATAAAGCCCATTCCTAGAAACCAGCAAAGGCCAGCTTCAAAATAAATAAATAAAACGCAATATATAGAAAGTGAAAGATTCAAAAGCAAGGCACTGAAATGTTCACAAGGGAAGCCATCGAAACCGGAAAGGAGGAAATCCTAGCCCTCTTGAAGTCCTCATTGAAATTCCTATGGATTTTAATAGAATCCAATTCAGTCGTAGTACATACACGTACGTTTAAGAATAAAAAAAAATGCATTCCTTAAAAAAAAAAAAAAAAATCACTGCCCATTTATTCAGCTGCTGTATGACCTGCCATCAGCTACCTTTGTTTCTCCGTCTCTAGTTGAACACACCGCTGACACACACAAGTGTACGGCATGCAAATCCCTATGCCACCGCAGATTTTAGTTATGCCAACTGCTGCAAGAGAAACACCAGCAAGAAAGGATATCCTTTGCTTCACCCTTGGTTATTGGGCTGCTAGGCTAACAATTTCTAATTTCATTAAAGGAAAGTGCCATTAAAAACCGCAGTCACGTACAATTTCCAGCAACTGCTGATTTCTACATTTCTTTTTGATTTTTGCTCTTGTCCTCCTCTGCTCCTTATTATATTGAAAAGAGGCACCAAGATGACACAGCAGGTGGCAGCTAGACAGAAGTACAGCCTAATGCATGTTTTACATAACATCAGTGTGAAAGGATTAAGGCATTCCCACCCCTCCCAACCCCCAGCCCCCCAAACTTGGCCAAATTTTGACTGGAAACATTTATTTTCAACCGACCAACAAAAAGATCCAATTTTGGTAAATACCACTACTTTGTACCTCCCTTCGCATACTAAATCTATGGCATGCCATATACTGTTTAACCTGCACAACCACCACCAACGGATTACTTTCAAATGCAAGATCCAGCCAATGACTTTCTAAACCTGGTTCCAGCCAGTGTCCAATGGACAGTCGGTTCAATGCAACACACAACATTTACTTCTTTAAGAAAAATTATTGTTAGTGTTGCCAAAACACACATGCACTTCTTTCTTGGGAGAAAAATGTGTCTCTTGATTTGTTTCCAACCTGTGTATTCAAGCCAGTAGCTAAAAATGCTTAGAGAACGATAATGAATAAATTGCTCAGAGAATCGGCAATTAAAGCTCCAACTTTTGATCAATAAATCTATTAACGTAGGGATATATTTGTGTTAGTCAAGAAAAGTGTCTGACTTTTCAAGGTCTGAAAGCATACCTGAACTGCTAAAATGTTTGCTTTCAAATATTTCAAGGAATGCTGACATCTATGGCATGAGTTTGTCGATGCTTTAATCTTTTCCCATCCCTCATCTAATTTTTCTAGGTTTGACATTTTTTTTTAACGTTTTTTCCCCCCCAATTGCTGGTTAGTAAACCCAGTCCTTAACTTCCGATTTTCTCCCGTTTGTCTCATCTGCCTGCGAAACAGAAGGTCCCTGCCAAATGTAAAGCACGGCAGAGCGAGACAGGCTCAGACCGTGAGTCACAGTATATTTGGCGGTTTATTAAACCATCGGCAGCGCACATCTCTGCTTCTCTGTCAAAATTCGCATAGAGCGAATATCTAAAATTTGCTAAAGCAAGGTCTCTCCGACTGCCGTTATCAAGGTCAAGGAGCAGCCTCTTGCAAGGCATTCTGCTGGATCCCGTTTTCGTGGGGAAGCTATTCCAAGTATGGTGTCCCGATGAGATCAAAATGTGCTTAAATGGCGGTGAATAACCAGAAATATGAGAAATTATCCACAGCAAGGTGGTAACAAATTAGCCACGCAGCAATGTACTAGATTAATTTTCTACATCTGTTTGTGCCAGTCCAGTTTACATGACAAAGCCTGCCAGCCAGTATTAAATTAGAGAGCCCGGGACTGACAGAGATCTCGCTTAGCAATATTTTGCAGCCACCATAAATCGTACGTGTGCGAACGACACTCGGTATTCTGATCAAGTGGGCTTCGCCTCCCTGCCTGTCAGCTCATGAACTCAGAGGTGGGCAGAGCCACAAAGTGTCTTATTAGCAGAACCAACATTCGGGATTAACTTCCTCCCTTCCCCCCACATTTCGTGCAAACACCGCTCTGCACAACACGTGTTCAGGAGGTTTCCACCAGTGCCCTTGCAAGGTACCAAAAAAAAAAAAAAAGGCGAGCTCTGTAATTTCCACTGTATTCCTATTGCATGGGAGCTACGAAGTTTTAAGGGACAAAAAAAATAAAAAAATAAAAATCAAATCTATCTAGTAAGCACCAGAGCGACCCAAAGAAATTAAAGCGCACATCCATTTATTAAATGCCAGGACAACTTGCTTCGCCGCTTCAATAAAAAAGATTGGAAGATTTCTGGAACAAAAACCATCCAGACTGATTTTGTAAACTGTCAGCAACGATACCTCCTTTCAGAGCAATGTGATCAGACAGATTAGGGGTGCGTATATATTTTCCGCAACAATTTCTACCCGGCACTCTAGTATTTTCTTTTAATAATACGCTTGCATTTTGCCAATGCACTCAGGGTCTGTTATATTCAAGAGGACTTGCAGTATGTTTAAGACAGCGAAAGCTCCAGGAGTGAGGGGGAAAAAGAATGGGCAGTCATTTGAATCAGTGAGTGACAGGCCAGGCCAGCTCTCTGTATACATTAATAAATTAGAATTTTAATTGTGTCTCTGACTGCAGGAGCTGCTCCAGTACTTTAATATGTACCAACAATTGGCTATGTTATGGAATCTGCGATGTGGCCTTCACTGTTGACCTCTGCAACACAATTCCCAGTCTGACTACGGAAACTGTTTGGTTTGATCCTTTCAACTTATTTGAATCCTGACAAATAAGCTCACAGCTGAAAGGTCAACACAGTCATATTTCATCCTCTGGAGCTATTCTTAAGACATCTGCACAACAAAGCACTTCTTTTAGTACCTGACACTGGACCTAGCCGGCACAATCTCTCATTAAAAATGTCCCCAGTGGAAGAGTCTATTAAAAGGCATATGGAGCTGCTATGGATTTACCAAATAAAATATTTTTGGAAGTGTTAATGTAACAGTTTGGCTTGCGACACTCTACGCTCCCAATAAACCGCATGCCTGCCCAACGACAAAACAGTTCAGACTTTCCAAAAGAATAACAGTGCAGCTATAAGGAGGCAGGCGTTGTCCAGAAGACGGCACACCACGTCGGGAGCCAGGAACGCATGAGTCTGAATTTCACCTCTAAAACATATCCTTTCCTACAGTCTGGAAAGGGTCCCTTAAATCTGCCTGCCTCAGTTTCCCTCCCCAAAACTGCTGTTTACAGATCAGGCTTCCCCCTTCTGGGGATGGGATGGAGATCAATGTTTTCCAAATTCTCTGAGGATGAAATAGCTACATAACTGCTACAGGTGCTCTTGACTGGGCCATATTCTGCAATGCAGACCTAGTCCCGATTCACTGAAGTCCCTGAGAGCTTTGCTCAAACAAGGCTGTGGCCCATAAGCTTCACCTTCTCACAGACTTACGTGTTTCTGATTTGACCTCCAATGCTCTGCTCCACCCTTAAAGATCTAAAATCTACATTTTAGGGACTAAATAATCTGAAATACATGTCATCAGTGAAAGGCACAGGAGCAGTAATGCTGCCAGAGGGACAGGAGTGCAAATCAGACATTAGTTCAACAACTTTCCGGGTAATGATGACAAACAGAAAAGCACCAAAATAAATTTGGACCACAAAGGCAGAGCATCAGATAATAACAACAGTGAGAGAAGACCCCAACAACAGGACTCTGGTGTCACTGCACTTCAGCTACAACACTGACTTCTGGAAAGCTTGTTCCCAGAAATTAAGAAAAGGATGCTTTCTGAAGTCACTGGGGAAACTTCCTGAGAGTGTGACATAGTGCAGAATAGCTGTCCTCAGGGAAGTGGAAACACTAGCATGGTGAACATAATGGAAAAAACTTAGGTACCACAATCCCACCTTGGCACTACCTGGGTGACCTACCGGCTGTTTCTGATCTCTAGTTCCTATGATTTATTCATCTTGAACAGCAGAATATGCCCCCAAAACACGTTTGTGCGTGCATCTTACTTGGACCTGGTTGTACCCTCCTGAATTTGTAACAAGCTGTTAATATTTAGGTTTCCTTGAAGGGGCTACAAATATTTCATCCCTGAATACGTCCAGAGGCCAGCAGACAACGGCCGGGGGGCAGAAATCACACTGATGATATGCTGCCCTAATGACTGCATCACTACTGCCAAAGCAGATCAACAGTTTGGGTGAACACGGGGTGTAAACAGAACGGTTTTTGAGCACAACCACAACAGCAGCAAGGCAATAATGGAACAACGACCCATTCACTTTTACGATAAACCGCTCCACCCATCCTCAAATCAGGCTGTGCTTATGGGTGGGCTTTCTAAAACGCCTGGTGTGGGTTTCACTGCTCCAGCTGAAGTCAACAGGAGCCTTTGTATTAAAACTTCAGTCGGAGCAAATTAGGCCACAGCTGAGCATCTCTACAAATCTCACGGTAACTTCAATATTGCACTGCTCCGCAGCTTTGATTAACAACAGGTATATGCAGAGGCTCATGTGCACACATTCACTCTGCTTACCTGAAGGGCTGGTTGTTTGTCATTCCTCTTGGGAGACTTTAATCCACTAACTTGCTGCTGCTGCTGCTGCTGCTGCTGCTGCTGCTGCTGTAGTAAAAGCTGTCGTGCCACCTGAAGAGCCTGGAAGAAAATAAATGGGGAAAAAAAAGGGAGTTTGTACCATGCACAAACGTGGGAAGCTGCATGTGTGCTATTTGATCAGAACATCCCTTTGAACATCAGACCCGGTTCACCTCCTAGAAGAGTGCTCCCCAAAGAAATCCTGAGGCATGTTTGCACTCAGAGAAGAGTGGCTTCCATTAAAAAAAAAAGGAAACCCCCCCCCCCAAAAACTCAATTCTTACCCATAAGGATATGACACACCGCAGCCATTTCTCATTTTAATTACAGGGGAAATAGGACTGCAGGGTAACCAGGGGCAAACACTGATTTTGAAGGGGGGGACTAATGTGAGCTTATAGGGCTTTATGCAATGGGAATATGTCTCATCAGGCAATGAGTCCTTTTGCAAACTGGGGCAGTCTTCGTGCCCTTTTTCTCCAACCAGGCAAAGTGGTCTAGAGCCGACCAGGGTAGTCAAATGGGAGTTTCTCTTTGAGGAAGGCTGTTACAGTGTGGGCTGTCTGCTGCAACAGCAGAGCAGCCAGAGGCAGTGGCATCCAGCAAGTGGAAGACAATGCAAGATCTTGAGCTGCGCAGGTCCAGTACGGAGCACATGAAAATCATTACTGGTCACTAGTGGTGCATGCAAGCAAGGGGTGAGGGAAAACAACAGCTGGGAGAGGATATTCTGCATCCCACACCCCAAAGACTGACTCTGACAGAGAGCTCAAGGGCCGACTGCAAAGGGACGAGAGAAAAAAGCAACACCTCCAAGACGGGACTTGCAGGTGAGGCACGATGCCTGGGGTAAGCATCAGAGGCAGGTCGAGGGCTGGAAGAGTATGAGGAAGTGCACACCTGATGCCACGCAATGGGCTTTGGGTCCACGGACCAGGCAAGGTGGGGGCAAGGATGGGAAGGAGAGAGAGAAGTGGGAAAAGCAAAGGGGCATGCGCCCCTCCTGTCAAGCTCACGGGCAAGAAGCTCGGTTCCTTCGCCAGCACGTCAGGCCCAACGCCGGAGCAGCGTGGAGACGGCCCGTGTGCCAGAAGCTGGGAAACAAAGCCCGTCTGCGGAGGCATTTGGACGCTGAGATGCCTGGCACCGTGGCTGGGACTCTAGCCTGCTGTCGCACTGAAGGATTCACCATCGCTGGACTCCGGGTTTCCTCGTCTCCTTGGAGACGTTCAGTACATGTGTAGGTGTAAAAAAGTGGGAAGACTGAAGACTTCATTAATGTAAAACAAGAAAAATAGTCCCTTTGCAAGATGCCTACACGGAAGGAGGGAGAGAGGCTGCCACGCTCCTCCCGCAGATGCTCCCTGAGCTAATTAATTAATACATATTCAATTAAGGAGTTAAATTCGTTTAGGGGCTTCGCCGTTTCTCTTGAGCAGGAGTAGTTTCTGCTAAGTGTCAAGTGCTAAGCGCGCCGCACGGCACCAGGCAGGGATGGGACTCTGTGCCCAGTTCTGCGGGGCAGGTGAAGGGGCTAGGTGATTTTGGTGGGTGGTAAGGACCCCTCGCAGCTCTCGGGACAGTTCCTCAAATGCAGCAAGATCGTTTCCTTTTATTTCTGAACGCAGACACTCGGGAGAAGCACGAAGGGGGGCCCCGACAGCCTCCACGACTGGCCAGCAGGGAGTGAGGGAATCCCTTGGTGGCATACAGCCAGCATAGTCTGCTTTCACAACTTCTCTTCCTGGCCTCTGGCTGCGAGGAAGGGGACGCTGGCTACACTACAGCGATCACCGTCTCATCTGCCAGCTGCTCGGCATCGCTCTGAACCGTGCAGCAGCACCCGAGCAGTTCGAGCTCTTCTCCCCTCCTTGCCCCTCTTCTTCACGTCAGTGGGAAAAGGAGGCGCCCGGGGATTCACCGAGCCCGCAGAACTGGGCGCTGGGCCGAGAGCGTCACGAAGCGCTTGCCAAACTGCTTGCTTGCCATTGCATTAGGACCGAGCGGGCCAATCGCTTTGGCAAGCGTGCCACAAATTAGCACTGCACCCTCCCCCAGTGCCACTCCAATACCTTTCCTCTGCCCGCTTTGCTGCTTGGCTGCCTGCTCCCTGACTGATCTGATGCTCTGCTTTCTGCTCCCTGCACCGTCAAGTTACTGTGCTGCCTGATCTGCCACGCGTCACAAGAGGCTACTTGTGGCCCCTTGTGGCACCCATGTTGCAGGCAGACCACCTCTCTTTTAGAAAGTGCTACACCGGGGCGGGCAATTATTTCGGGTGGAGGGCCACTTACTGAGCTTTGGCAAGCCATCGAGGGCCGCGTGACAGGCAGCCAGGGAGAGAGAAATATTCATTTTCTAAATTTTTTTAGGGGTCCTGCGGGCCAGATAGGCCGCATTTTGCCCTCCCCGGTGCTACACCCTGCCTCCTCTCACCTAGACTGCACCGCCGTCAGTGCATGATTTAATAACAAATCTCCACTCGCTCAGAAAGATTTTAAATTCAGCTGCGACTTCCACCAGAGACGAAACCAGATTTTAAATACGGGGGGGGGAAGCGTAGCCAGAGCTCCACGCACATCTAAAAAATGCCACGCGGCTGCGCGTGCACATCAGAGGCCGGCGATCCTTAAAGGGGGCAAAAAATGCGAGACGGTGTCGACCACGCACACACGAATCAGATCATCTGTGCAATTTTGCATGCGTACGTGCGAGGGCTCCTCCAGTAGTTCACCTACAAGATGAAAAGATTCTGCTGGCCACCAATTAATAAAACACGAGGATGGCTGAGAGACCTTTGGGTGGAGGGTGATGTGTGCGGTAAAGACAATATGTTATTTGTATTGTATTATCCTATTCAGTTGCTCAAAGTGCCTTCAAAGGTGAAACAGGAGCAGCTGAAAGATTCCTTCAAGGCTTAAGGAGATTGGCAAAGAATACTCACCTACTTAACTAGGGTGTTGTGTGGCTTATTTAATTAATGAATACTTGTAAAGCACTCCGAGTTTCTCAGACAAGAAGCGCCATACAGTACAAGCGCAACATGTTATTATATATTATTAAGACTGGCTCTGCAGAAGAATAATTCCAGATAAATGTGCAATCAAATGATCATTTTAGTTCCCCGTAATTAGATTCAATAGGCCAAAAAAACAAAAAAAAAAAAACCCCAAAAAAACACGGGAGCCTTGCTTTAATCATATATCAAACAATCAGCACATCCCTAACCTTTCAAGCTACAGCCTTTCTGAATAAAACATCATCAACTTATAGATATTATTCCAAAAAGAACCAGCCACCATATGTGTTGTCTCTTTGAAATACAGTTGCTATAGCAGGCCCTGCATGCATTTCATGTGATATGATCATATTCTATCCGTTCTGGCAGCTGAGAGGTTGCACAACGAAAACTGGCTGCCAGAAATTTTTGAAGATTCCCAGAACAACTAGCTGTGCAAGACATGCCTGGTTTCTACTTGAGCTGGCCGTGAAACTCGGTTGCAGCCAGACTGGGTGATGGCTGTGATCGTGAAGCCTTAAAGCTGCTCCCTCCAAGTGGAAGAGTCCTGCCCTGCAGCTGGATTTCCCTGGCCAAGCCCAGCACTCGGACAAATGATGGGTCAGGCGGAGCATTGAGGGAATTGGGCAGGAGCAAGCCTCTTTCTGTCCCCTAGTGCCATGCCTGAGCAAGGACATGGCCACTACCTTCCTCAGCAGGCTCCCCCCAAATCCCTTGCGATTGCTGGGATGAGGGCAGAATCGAACCGCTGCCTGCCCACTTTGCAGCAAGTGGCAAGAGCCCCGGAGCCCCTGCACCCAGAACGGGTGGTGTTTGGGGTTGGGGGTTGGTGTGACACCGCAAGGAGAAGTCCCAAAACCTGGTGGGAGGCGGGGGCAGGACGGCTGAGTGGGCAGGAGGAGCAGTAAAAGGACAGGGAGCACGAACCTGCGCGTCAGGGACAGCACCAAACAGCATGTCCCCATCTCTGCTCCTCCGTGCTTTGCCTCCTCAGCAGAGATAGCATTTTATGATAAGAGAAGTGAAAGACCAGATGATGCTGGATCTAAAAGGCAGAGCTCTGCTCGGAGCAGCAACCCGGGGACAGCGCTCCCTGCCAGCCTGCCCCGAGTAGCTCCTCCGTCTCTAGCAATAAAGCCAGGCGAGTCATTCTGAGTCACGCAGCCTGCCTTGATTTTCTTGTCAAACCCTCCCTCCATCAAGCCTGCCCGTCTCTGTCATTTCCGAGTCTCATCGACAGTCATCGCACATGTGGGGCAGGGAGAGAGGAGCGTGGAGAAGAAAGAGGTGGCGGTTTGGGGAGGGACGCGCTGGCCTTCTTTCTTCGCTCCCACAGAACCCATTTCCAGTCCGTTTGGCGCGCCTTTGGGAAATTAATCTGCAGATCTCAATCCAACCCCGGTGGACAGCCACCATCCTAACACCCACACTCCTCCTTTAATGCAAGCCGACAAGAGAGACCCAGGACGGAGCCAGCTCGGAAACCGTATCGCTGCCCTGCCTCAGACGCAGCAACCACGCCGAGGCAGGACTGGGACTTGCAGGCCAGCTTGGGAAGGCGGCTGCGCGAGGGTTTCCTGAGAAATTAATCTGACAGCGAATTGAGTCTCTCAGCCCCGAGATCCACAAGCAGGACTGCATGTTAATAAAGCCTCCCATAGGAGCTGGCAGCACTTTCTATTTGTGAATTTGGCTCTGGTGAAAGGTGGCAGTCTGTCAGACACGGAGACTGAAGCCAGCCATTGCACACTTACAACATACAAAGCATCTGTGGGAGCTTCTCTGTGCTGGTCTCATCTGCCTTGCCCTTGAGCACGGTGCAAGAGAGCGGTGCTTTAGAGTATTTAACCTGTTCGATGCTTGCTCCTGCCAAGCCCAAAAGCATGGCTCCAGCTACGCTTTACCACTAAAGCATGATAACAGCGTTAATGAGGTGGTTGCCTCTTCTCCATCCCACTCTTTTCGAGAAAGCAGAGTTATATTGCCCAACTGTCCAGCAGTGCAGATGCCCTTTTGCAAGCGTGCACTTGCTGATGAGTGT